TGCAGAGTGTCTGAATTGAATTTATGGTGGCAGGTAAGGCCTGTTTGTAGCTTTCCTGTTCTCTGATGTCGAATGCGTTACAGAAAAAGCAAGTAAATGATTCAGGTATATTTACTATATCTGTAGTTGAGGGGGGGGGGTTCGTCATAACTTTGCATTTGGGAGATTTGGAGAGGGGTCAAAGCTAATTTGCCTTTGTTGAGAGGGAGGGTATTGTGTAATATTTCTCCTTGCAAGGCTCATTTTTCGCCCCCCCCCCCTCCTGATAATTATTGCGCAGTCCCTAAACTCATGTTAGAAATCAAAATTCGATAGTGTCCCAAAGAGAACAGCAGCCGAAAATTACAAACGAACGAAAACGGCGTCATTGGAAGAACACCAATAACGATGAGTCTAGACGATTAATGAACCCATATTCGCACGAAAAGAGATACATTTAGCCTAGCCGTTCCAAAATTATTCACTACCACTAGACTTTCACTACTGAGAGGCGTTCTCAATCCGTCTACACTATGGATCGAGACGTCTGTTCGACATCCGTGTAGCGAAAAAAAAAACAACCAAGCTCTTTATTCGCATTATTTCAAGAGGTTACTACAGATTATAAAAGTTAGAATATATAAGAAACAGTAAATTACATCAATAATCAAAAGTAAAATGTGCACAGTGACCAAAGACTTACTTTACTTTAATTCTATATTTAGTAGTCGTAATCGCTCGCCAGCTGATGACGATGGCAGGTAGGCGATGCTTATTTAAATCAATGGCTGTTATTTGGGGGGTGCTATAATGCGAGCCTGCGAGCCCGAGTCTTTTATGACGAGCCGGAGCCATTTTTTCCGAGCCCTGGGAAAATAATATCCAAATCTGGACATAATGCCTTTTTATGGTCTTGATTACGTCACGCGCCAAAACGGGAGTCATGGTCCCAGGCGTTCCTTGTTTAAACCGCGGAAACTGAGAATGAGAGTACGAAAATTTTCCTTTCGTGTGCTCGCTGATTCAGCGTGATTGTAAACAACACAATTTTCGAAATGTTGTGCATTCGGCAGGTCGTATGGCAAAGATTCCTGTCTTATACGCTGTTCTCACATACAAACGCACACACCGTTCGTGGTAGGCCCACACTTAACGATGTCGAGCGTTTTCGCTCAAACCACGAAAATACTGGCAAAACTGTGACAGCCGATTAACAACAAACTATGAAGCTGAGACGAACACCTCGCTCGAAGGTGGTGCTTACAACAGCGAATAGGTGGTTTGCAACCAATCTCTAGAGACGCAGGTAACAATGGTGAAAGGAAGAAATGCTGGTGGACGAACAAAAGAAGTTAATGAGATATCTATTGTTTACGTCGACCAACATGGCGGCGATGACGTAACATGAATAGTAATGTTAAATGTCTAAGCTTAGCGGTTCTGTCCTGGTGTACCGGTTCACAAGGGAATTACCATTGTTCTTTCTTTGTTTAAGAGTCATTGGTTAGCTGTTGTGTATTGTTCGGTCTTTTGTAACGGCTCTTGTGAACCGGTACACGAGGACAGAACCAGCTTAGCTCTTCCATTAAATACCTGTTTCTGTAATTGGTTACTATCGGGTTCAATACTTGTAAAGTACGATTTTATATTTCGTACATAGTCACTAATATTATTGTGCAAGCGATCGTGAAAGTTGGTTTGCTCTTTGCATTGATTAAAGGTAAAAAAATTAAGATCTCGTGATGCATATTATAATTGTACTCGTGTTTTGAGTGAATGCTATGTGAGAGTTATCGGCCAGAAGCGAGGGGTTATGTGATTTATTCCCCTCGTGCGTTGCCCGAGGGGAATAAATCACATAACCACGAGCTGAAGGCCGATAAATGGCTTATTTTTACATGTGCGAGGATTCCTCAAGGGATGCAAAAATACGCTGAAGAAAAATGGCTCATGTTTGTTTTGTTTTTCAACACTCCATGCTGGCATTGGTGAGATTCACAAGTTTCTCGGCTTTTTAATTATGTTAGTTTTTTTAAAGTCACATTTCGAATTAGTTGTTCGTCTTGTTCGTAGTGAATGCTAGGAACAGGCTAGCAATGTTGAGCGATTCAGAGTCATAACTGTTTGTTACTCAAAGCAGTTTTAGTGGCGACACCTCCATTGAGGTTTCGGAAAACAACTTTGAATCTTTATTTTGCGGGTGCAGACAACGAGAAAGCAGTTGACAAATTAAATTTACGCACCGAGGATCTTTTGACCGACCTTTTTACAGATAAAGAAGATTCCGGCCGAGGGATCACTACTGAAACCGACAAGGAAATTCAGGCCAGGAATGAAGGAAGAATACCACAAAACACTAAAAGGGCAACTTCATGGAGTACACGAGTTTGGGATGATGTTTTGCAAGGATCAGCAACTAATTTTTAGGGGGCCTCAGTGGAAAGCGCTAACCACCGATCAAGAAAATCTGCGAATGTGCCCCTAAATTTTCTTGCTCAGTTTAATTTCAGAAATTGTAGCGTCGTATTTAATATTTCCAGATAAACATTAGTAAATTTGTTCTTCATGAACAGGTAATTTAAATGCGAGGGAAATAAGTCACTTATCCCCCCTGCATACTAATACATAATCCCCCC